GCGCGCGACGTGCACCGCCGCCTCGGTGCCGCCAGGGACCGCGACGCCGATCTGGAGGGGACCCAGTCGGTCGCGCGCGGCGTCGGCAACCTCGTGGCAGAGGCACTTGCCGACGAGGCGCCGGAGCACCTCCCCGACGGCAACAGGGCGCAGGCCTCCGTCCTTCTTCGGCAGGGCCACGAGAGAGGCGCCCGCGAAGTACTCGGACACGGTCGGCGGGGCCTGCCCCCTGGCGCAGAGGTTGACAAGGTTCCGGAGCTGGTCGGTGACCTCGTCCCTGTGGGCCGCGTTGAGCAGTGCGTCTTCGAGGTGTCGGGGTCGGAGGCCCGTTGGCCCGGCGGCCGAGCCCCGGGGGAAGGCCCGCGCCTCCCTACGTGCAGGGCAGCAGCCGCGTGGACAGCCGGAAGGCTGGCGGGATCCACAGCTTGGCGGCTGCGCGGGTGCTTCCGGCCCATCTGTTCGACGACGTCGGGGGTGACCTCCACGGGCGGCTCGCTGGTCAGAGCCGAGCAGCTCTTGGAGTACTGGGCGTCTGCGGCGAGCTGCAGGAATCCCCAGCATCGAATCGAAAAGCCGGATCGGGTCGACCGGAGCATCGAATCGGCAGAAGTCGGCAAAAGCCGGCAGCCAAATCGAAATCGGCTGAAGTCGGCACGGCCAAGCCGGATCGAGTCGGAAACCGGACCGCGTCAAGCCGGATCGGAATCGAAATCGGAAACCCCCCCTGGGGGGGGTTTGGGTTTTTTGGAAACCTCCCCTGGGGGGGGTTTGGTTTTTTGGAACCCCCCCCTGGGGGGGGTTTCCGGTTCCGGGTTTTTGAGGAAACCCCCCCTGGGGGGGGTTTCCGGTTCCGGGTTTTTGAGGAAACCCCCCCTGGGGGGGGTTTCCGGTTCCGGGTTTTTGAGGAAACCCCCCCTGGGGGGGGTTTCCGGACACACACACACACACACGGAGGGAAACCCCCCTGGGAGGGGGGTGAGGGTTTGTTGGCGAAACCCCCCCCCTGGGGGCCCAGAGCCGGAGCGGAAGGCGGATCGGCAAAAAAAAAAAAAAAAAAAAAAGAATAATATAAAAAACAAAAAATAACAGATATTAAAAAAAATAATAATTAAAATAACTTAATAACAAAAAAAAAAACAAAACAAAAATAATAAAAAAAAAAAAAAAAAAAAAAAAAAAAAAAAAAAAAATAAAAAATACAAATAAATAATATAATAAATTTATTAAAATATTAAAAAAAGAGTTAACAAAAAAAAAAAATAAAAAATCAACGCCCGCAAAATGACCGGATGCACCATCGAATCGGCAGAAGCCGGATCGGGCGAACTCGAAATCGGAATCGCGAATCGGAATCCCGGAATCGAGTCGGTTCGAAATCGGAATCGCGGAAATCGATTCGATTCGAACCGGCGGAATCGGAATGACCCCTGGAGCTGCACGCACCTCTCCGCTCGCTGGGAGGCTTGCGAGGCGTGCTTGGCAGCGCGAGCCTCGACTGCCTCGGCCCACAGGGAGGCCCGCTCCCCGTCCAGCCAGCGCCGGCACAGCGCCTTGGTCTGCGCTTCGCCGGCCGCCCTGCTGCCTCGGCCGCCACGGGTGTGAGGGCGCAGGACGCATTTCGGGAGCATCGCGAGCTCTGTCCACGCAGCCTCGGAGTTGTTGTGCACGGTCTGGGTCACCGTCTGCACTAAGCACCGTGCCCAGAGGTCCCGGGCGCCCTTCGGGACGTAGCGCTTGGAGAAGGCTTCCTGGAGGGAGGGGAGACCCGCGGGCTCGCTGTGCGGTTGGCCGCCAGCGGCGGGAGCGGCGGCTGCCACGGCTGCGGCCGCGCGCGCGGCAGGGCGGCAACGCGGGCAGATGCCGCCGAAGCGCGTCGACAAGAACCGTTGGCATACCGAGCATTGCTCCAACCGGTGCTCTTGCAGGTACTCGGGCGGGACTGGTGGCAGCCCAGGGAACCGCCCGGCGGCGTGCTCGTTCAGGCGCGGGCGCATGCTTTGGTGGTCCCCCCAGCCGGCGGAGGACGCGGCGTCGCCGCGCGGGCACCCAGGGACGGGGCAGTGCACCCAGACGCGGGCACGAACCCTGCGCTGGTGGGCAGGATCGGGCGCCGGGGGAGGGGGGGCAGGTATCTCTTGCCCGGCTGGCGGCGCTGCCTGTGGAGCCCCGGGCGGCGGGGCGCCCTCCCCAGGAGCGCTGGCCGGTGGGCGGTTGAGAGCCTCGGCCCGGCGCTGTTCCTCCAAAGGAATCCCCGCGTCCACATGCATGTCCCTGGCAGGGTCGAGATTCAACCCGCCGAGTCCCACGACCAGGAGCGGTTCATCCCCATCAGTCCGGTTGCGCCGGAAGTGTCGCCCAGGGGAGCGAACCGCTGGCCCCGCCTCGACAAACGTGTTGCTCACGTGGACCTCCTGCCTCGCTGGGCCCGCAGAGGCAGAGGAAGCCGCCGCGGCGCTCGGACGCTGAGGGCTGCGGGAACCGCCCCGCCGGCACGTGCACCGATTAGTCTCCCATTGGCACGTGGCGCAAATGCCATCCGAAGCGGGGAAAGCAGGCGCGGTGACCGCCCGAATGAGGAGGACCACCTGGCCGGCCCAAGCAGCGGGGCTCGTTGGGCAGAACCACGCTGGGCTGAGGGCCGCCGTGGAAGCCAGCGTCAAAGCCTCGCACAGGGGGCGTCGGACGTGGAAGTCGTGAGCGAGAGCCGTCGCACATATCGCTGCCAAGCCCCGCTGCGCGGGTCCGCCGTGCACCATGGCCCCATAGACGACGACCTCGAGAGAAGCTGGGGACACGCAGGCGGAGGCGAGGAGCAACGCCGGGCGCACGGGGACGGGAAGCGCCGCCCCGAGCGTGGAGCTCAGGACCTGCCCCGTCACAGCCCATAACATGACCGAAGGAGCCACGATTGGGAGAGCTGCGAGGAGCGCGGGGGCTCGTTGGAGGATACTGTGCACCCCACCGAGAGCGAGTGAGGCCCCATGCGAAAGGCAGCGCGCTGGCCATTGAGAGTCGGGAGATGGGAATCCACATGGGCACGCAGAAGTGCATGCCGCTCCCGACGCGCATGCGGCGCAAGAGCGGAGGTGCTGGTGAAAGTAAAGCTCGGCTGAACTAGTGTAGTGGCCTCGTGGGGGCTCTGGTGCAGCGCCCAGGAGCTGGTCCTCGCAGTCGTGGGAGCCGAGCCGGTGCTGGTGGTAGGAAGCGCCGCATCGGCGGTGGTTGCCGCTGTAGTGTTCGTGCTCGTGGCAGTCGTAGGCATGCTGGTTGCACAGGTGGTCGTGCTGGTTGCCCGTGTCGCTGGTGCTGGTCGTCTGTGTGTGGTCGTGCTGATTGCACTGGTTATGCCCGTGGTGATGCTGGTAGTGCTGTTTGCACTGGTTCGTGCTCGGACTCGTCGTCGTAGTCGTGCTCGTGCTGGTGCTGTCGTGGACAGTGGCGTAGGCTCTGGCGTTGGTGCTGTCGTAGGCGCGGGCGTTGGCGCTGGCGTCGATGCTGGCGCTGGTGCTGGTGTAGGCACTGGCGTTCATGCCGACCGAGGCGCCGGCGTTGGTGCTGTCGTCGGTGCTGTCGTCGATGGTGGCGTAGGCTCTGGCGTTGGTGCCGGCATAGGCGCGGGCGTTGGCGCTGGCGTCGATGCTGGCGCTGGTGCTGGTGTAGGCACTGGCGTTCATGCCGACCGAGGCGCCGGCGTTGGTGCTGTCGTCGGTGCTGTCGTCGATGGTGGCGTAGGCTCTGGCGTTGGTGTCGGCGTAGGCGCGGGCGTTGGCGCTGGCGTCGATGCTGGCGCTGGTGCTGGCGTAGGCGCTGGCGTTCGTGCCGGCGTAGGCGCCGGCGTTGGTGCTGCCGTCGGTGCTGTCGTCGACGGTGGCGTGGGCTCTGGCGTTTGTGCCGGCATAGGCGCGGGCGTTGGCGCTGGCGTCGATGCTGGCGCTGGTGCTGGTGTAGGCGCTGGCATTCATGCCAGCGTAGGCGCGGGCGTTGTTGCTGTCGTCGGTGGTGTCGTCGACGGTGGCGCAGGCTCTGGCGTTGGTGTCGGCGTAGGCGCGGGCGTTGGCGCTGGCGTCGATGCTGGCGCTGGTGCTGGTGTAGGCGCTGGCATTCATGCCCGCGTGGGCGCCGGCGTTGGTGCAGTCGTCGGTGCTGTTCTCGACGGTGGCGTAGGCTCTGGCGTTGGTGCCAGCGTAGGCGCGAGCGTTGGCGCTGGCGTCGATGCTGGTGCTGCCGCTGGCGTTCATGCCGGCGTAGGCGCGGGCGTTGGCGTTGTCGTCGGTGGTGTCGTCGACGGTGGCGTAGGCTCTGGCGTTGGTGTCGGCGTAGGCGCGGGCGTTGGCGCTGGCGTCGATGCTGGCGCTGGTGCTGGTGTCGGCGCTGGCGTTCATGCCGGCGTAGGCGCTGGTGTCGCCTCTCGAGCTGGCTCTGGGGTCGCCCTCGGAACTGGCGTCAAAGTCTCCTCCGAAGATGTCGCCGGTGTCGCCCTCGGAGCTGGCGTCGGGAGCGTCGACCTGTACGGCCGTGGGGCTGCCGTCGGAGCCGGCGTCGGAGACGCCGACGGTGTCGTTGTCGGAGCCGGCGCTGGTGCCGCTGTCGAGGTAGGCGTCGAAAGCCTCGTCGATGCTGCCGTCGGAATTGCTTTCGGAGCCAACGCCGCAGACGTCGTGAGCAACGCCAAGCCAATCGGCATCTCCGCTGGAACCAGCCCCGGGGTCGCGGCTGGAGCTGGTGTCGGAGTCGTCGGCGCGGGGGCCGCCGTCGGAGGTGGTGCCGAAGCCGCCGTCGGAGCCGATGCCAGCGAAGCCGTCGTCGGTGGTGGTCGATGTCGCCGTGGTAGCGGTCGTGGCCCCGGTCGTGGTCGTAGTGGAGGTCGCGGTAGTTGGCGTGGGAGCAGGCGTGGTCGTGGTCGTGGGAGGAGCCGTAGCCGTCGTCGACGCAGTCGTGGTAGTTGACGCGGCACTGCTGGCGTCGCTGGACGTGGCCGTGGTGGTGGCCGCGATCGCGTCCCTCGTCGCCGTAGGAATGCTCGCGGCCGTGGCCCTGGTCGTGGTCGTAGTGGAGGTCGTGGTAGTTAGCGTGGCAGTGGGAGTAGACATGGTCGTGGGATGGATCATGAGCGTCGTAGCCGCGGTCGTGGTAGCCGGCGTGGTAGTGCAGGCGTCGCTGGTCGTGGACATGGTCGCGGTAGTGGTCGTGGCCCAGGTCGTGGTTGTGGTCGAGGTCGTGGTAGTTGGCGTGGCAGTGGGAGTACTCATGGTCGCGGGAGGGGTCGTAAGCGTCGTAGCCGCGGACGTGGTAGTCGACGTGGCAGTGCAGGCGTCGCTGGTCGTTGTCATGGTCGTGGCAGCGGTCGTGGCCCTGGTCGTAGCCGCAGTGGAGTGTGTGGTAGTTTGCGTGGAAGTGGGGGAGGGCCTGGTCGTGGGATGGGACGTCGCCGTCGTAGCCGCGGTCGTGGCAGTCGTCGTGGAAGTGCTGGCGTCGCTGGTCGCGGCAGCGGTAGCCGCGGTGCCGGCCAGGAGCAGCGGCGGGCCAGTCGACCTGCGGGCGAGGGAGGACGAACGGGCGGCCCCGACGAAGCAGCAAGCGCAGTCGCAAGCAAGGCAGCAACAGGGAAGAGGGAGAAAGGGGAGAATCTGAACTCTAGGAGGCCAGCCCGCCGCGGGAAAAAGGGTATATTCGGGGGGAGATTTAGGAGGGGGAGGAGGATAGCCAAACTGGAACACATGGTCATCATGGACATTCGCGGCAGCAAGCGCCCCATCACTGGCTGCATCCCCCAAAAAGTTGCCGATGGGACGTAGGCGTACTCACGGAGCTCGTGCTCATGGCCGTCCGCCTTCATCTCGGCGCCCGCGTACACGTAGCCCGGCACGGTCGCGTAGACCACCTCGATGGGCGGTTTCAACGGTGTCCGTCTTCCTCCCCAATTTCTCCAGGGCGAGCGCGGTGGACTTCGAGAAGCGCGGGTCGGCCACCTCGTCGTCGGGCCGGTCCATGATCTTGCCGAAGTCCTCCGTCAACACCTCCGCGCCGACGATGGACTTCACCACCATGCCGCCCGACACGCCGGCGGAGAACGCCTGGCCCTGAGGGTCCCCAGGGTACCGGGACACCGGCATCACCTCCATGGCCATCGCGCCCTTCATGCCGTTGCCCGGCTGGTAGCGCAGGATGCCGAAGGGGCGCTTCTTGTAGGTGACGGTGGGGCCCGGACCAATGGCGGCCGAGGCGTCGAACGCCACATCCGCGTCCTTCGGCCCGTAGCGCTCCAGGTACTCCGCGTCCTTCGGCCCGTAGCGCGGCCACGCGCTCGCCGCGCTGGCAGGCGGGCGTGGGCGAGCCCACGAAGCCGGCGCCCCTGCGGCACAGGGCCACCACCGCGGCCGCCAGCACGCACGTGAGGATGGGCCGCTGGGGCGCCATGGCGGGCGCTTCTGGGCGAGGCCCGCGCGCCGGCGCACCCCCCCCCCGCGCGCTGGCGCACCCCCCCCCCCGGGACCCCGTGCAGGCCGACAAACACGGAGAGACCTCCCATCGTGATTTCTTCGAGACGAGGGGGGAGGAGGAGGAGGAGGAGGAGGCGGAGGATGAGGATGAGGATGAGGATGAGGAGGATGAGGATGAGGATGAGGATGAGGAGGAGGAGGCGAAGAAGGAGGATGCGGAGGAGGAGGAGGCGGAGGAGGAGGAGGATCTTGGCAGCTCTCGTGGCCCCGTCCTGGTTCAGGACCTTGACCAGGAAGCTGGTCTCGCGCTTCAGCCTCGCGGGCAGGCAGCACGCCTCGCGCAGCTGCAACGCCTCCCTGCTCAGCATCTGGATGTGGGTGCGCTCGTGCGCCGCCTCCTGCTGTGTTCGCGCCACCTGCCCAGGTCCTGCCTCTCCTCCTCCTCCTCCTCCTCCTCCTCCTCCTCCTCCTCCTTCCTCCTCCTCATCTTCCTCCTCCTCCTCCTCCTCCGATCCTCCTCCTCCTCCTCCTCCTCCGCTCCTCCTCCTCCTCCTCCTCCTGGAAAACCAGCTTTACAAGTCCAAACCCGACAAGTCCAACCCCGAAGAGGCCCTCGGGAATTTCGCTGGCCCATCCAGAGACAATTATGCTGCCAGCCTTGGGGTTGAAAGCGGGGCTGGAAGGCCCCAGAGAAGGCGGAGGCAGGATCGTAAGCTCAAGGAGAGGACCAGTAAGATGAAGAGAACGATGTTCAGGATCCTCCATGTTCCACACGCGCAAACAAAGGCGGTGCCCCGCAAACAATGCAGGTCTTAAACAACAGTTCCGCGGCGCGAGCTCAGGGATACAAACTGGTCTTAAGTGACATTTCTTCGGCGCGTCAACACGCAACGAAACTGTCACGAAAATCGGCCCGCAAACGCGAGCGACATACGGGTTGCGTACGATGGAGAGCTATATGTCAGCGAGCGGGGACGCGTTCAGGCGCGAACTGCCCGTCGCACCTGATCCCAAACGCCGTGGGCGGCGGGCTCGCGCGGGCTGGTTGGCTGGAGCTGGCGGTGCGCGCCGAAGCGCGTTTAAGCGCCGCGCCCAAGCAGCGTGCCCCTCGACCGCCCCCCTGCACTGTTGGATCACTTCTTGGCTGGTCGTTCCTATACTGCCTATCGGTGGCGTCGGCAGGTTGCGCCTCCGGTTCGTGACCACGCATAGCGCGTAAGCGAAGGACGGCTCAGCAAGTGCGCGCGGTGTCGTCAGCGCAGCGCGCGAAGCCGAGGAGGCAGCGGAAACGGCGGGCGCAGTCCCCCTGGAGCCACAAGAAGCGGCTGCTCAAAGCACGACCCATCCAGCACCCCACGAAGTGTTCGATGCTGTCGGCGCCAGCGCCAGCCCAGGCACGCACGCCCGGGCACCCTGAAAGCGGCGCGCCGTGCACCACCTGTTCCATGCCAGGCCCCACGCTGCCGCAGCCACCCTCGGTGCTACCAGGCGCCCAAGCCGCTCCAGACTCTCCCGCTGACGTTGGACCAGCGTGTGCCGCGACTCCCCCTGGCGCCAGCGCCTCAGCTTGTACGCCAGCCGGGCGTCCCAGCAACCGAGACTGTGGGGCAAGTTGAGCTTGGCCGCCTCGTGCTGGAAGTGGGCCTTGGGCATCGCGCTGTCTCGCTCAATGTCTCCCCTTCTGCAGTGGCGCGCCAGGAGGGTGGCCTTGGTGATGCCCTTCGCGGCCACGCGTTCCCCGTTCTGCACCAGGCCCTCTGCAAAGGGCTGCCAGTACCAGGCCTGCCAGAATATGAGCCTCTCCCCAGAAAGTGGTGGCGTCGAGCACGCGGCGCAGATCCTGGGCAACGTCGGCGGGCACGTCTTCCCAGGTTTCGAAGTGCAGGGCGCGAAGCATCGCCGCTTGTCCATGTGCTCGCAGGCAATGACAGGAGCGCACCATCCCGCACCTCTCCCCCATGCCCTAAAGGTCGCAGGCTGTAGCCCAGCTTCTGGGGCCCTCTGGCAATCCCTGGAAGCACCTCCTCCTCCTGCCTGGCGACCGCCTCTGGTACCGGATGCAGCTGAGCCAAGAAGAGGAGGACGGAGAAGCAGATGACGTTGTAGACCGTGGCACGCGCTGCGCTGACCTGGGCCAGCGCTGGTCTGGCCCGGCCAGGGCCACGAGGCGAGCCCGGGCTGGCGAAGAGAGGGCGGGGGAAGGGGGAGGAGGAGGAGGAGGAGGAGGAGGGGGAGAAGGAGGGGAGGAGGAGAGGAGGAGGAGGAGGAGGAGGAGGAGAGGAGGAGGAGGGAGGAGGAGGAGAGGAGGAGGAGGAGGGAGGAGGAGGAGGAGGAGGAGGAGGAGGAGGAGGAGGAGGAAGGAAGGGACGAGGAGGAGGAGGAGGAGGAGGGGGAGGAGGAAGAGGAGGAGGAGGAGGAGAAAGAAGAGGAGGGGGAGGAGGAGGAGGGGGAGGTGGAGGAGGATTTTTCCCCTCGAGGGCCCCAAGGCAGAACTGTACACCGATGGCCTCATGCAGAGGCAGCATGCCGAACGGCCTCCTGACGGAGGCGGATCCTCTCCGCCAGTGCCGTCATCCCAGGAGTCGAGATGAGGCCTGAGCGGGAGGAGGACGCGAGCTCTGAAACACTGGCGGCTCGCAACAGCACATACTGTGTGGAGGCTCGGCAGGTGGTGCCAGCACTCGCAGCAACAGTATCCTCTGTCCTGTAATGAGGATGGAGACCTTGCCGGATCCGCTTCAGCGCGCTTCGCCCAGACGGGCCAGGGGTGCCACCACAAACGCCGCCGAGACGATAGTACCTCTTACTCGTAAAGGCTCCACAGCGGAAACAGAACAGCAGCGGCGCACAGGCCGCATCTTGTGTGAAGGTCGTGCACAAGAGATGGCCGCGCTCGCTTTCCGCACCATGCAAACGTCGGAGCGCCGTAGACAGGCCTTGACAGTCTGTCATAGGGCGGCGCTGTCCAAAACTGGTCTTGAAGCACTTGGCGCAGCGGGCAGCACACGGGATTTCATCATCCCCAGGGTCCAGGACGTTCCAGTCGTGCCAGACAATGGCTCGCTGGAGTCTCGATAAAATCCCAAGAGCCGCAGGCGCCCGCCTAAACTCAAGTCTCGGAACAAGCGAAAGAACATCCCCGAAAATAGACGCAAGTTTCAGAAACCTGGCCACGTTCGCATCTAATTGCTCGAGCACATCGGGCGGCATGGACGGATACATCGAGAGCGCATGCTTGGAGAGGCGGCCGGCGTCGCGGCTGCATAGAGCAACGCGACGCTCGTCCAAAGGGGGGCGGCTATGACCTCCTCCGACCTGTGGGCTGGCGTGCGAGACAAAGCCTGGATACTGGCCTGGCCGGGTTCCTGGGGGGCCCGCCTACGGAGGCCAGCGAAGACCTGGCCAGGATCGAGCTGAGACAGCGGCCGCGAGGTCGCCATGCGCACCGCGCCTAGGCAGTCGCGGCGAGCCGCGCTGCGACCCGAGGCGAGGCAACTGAGGGTAGCTATACCGAGATTCTCGCCGGACTGGGCCGTCTGAGGGGGGCCGCGCCAGACAGTTCCTAGCGCGCGGGCTTCGACCTTATAGTTGCCTGTGGGCGAGAGAAAGACAGCGGCATAACTCGAGCGGTTGAGCTCCTTGAAAGGTAGCTAGCTGGCGGATCCGTCAACGACGATCAGCGCGGCAGCCGTGAAATCTTGAAATTCATCGACGGCTAGTGGCTCGCCTGTCGGACCTTGGAGGAGGGGGCCAAGATCCAACGAGGGAGGGGGGGCCTCAGGCTGAGCCACTATATAGCGAGACCAGAGAGCCAATTGTTCAGGTGGGCAGCTGCGCGCCGTCTCGATCTCCTCGCCTGAAGATGCTTGCGGCGAGCCTCCACGACTGTCGGGCGCGCGCGAATAAACTGCCGATGGACTGTGGAGTCGGGTTCGCCACGCAGCGGGCAAAGCCCATCCGACTCGCGCCCCGAGGACGAAGCCGATCCGCAGCCCGACAGGCGCCAGAGACACACGCAGAGAGCCAGCACTTATGCTTGCCGCTTAACTTCTTTGAGCGGAGCAGGCGCCTGAGGGGTCAGGTGAAACACGCGTGGCTGACAACTCAGGAACCGTGCCAGCCATCCTGTGCTCGTGCATCCCCTGGACTCCCTCCTGCAAGAGCTTGCCGAGTAGTGCGGGGGAAGTGTGTAACGAATCGGCGACGTAGCCTCGCTCGCCATGCCGCGCCGAGATGCCTGTCGCCTTCCATCCGAGCCTATGGAGACTGAGGAGTATCCTATGAACGGGCCCCTTTGATTTCTTCCATCCCGACGGCTCGAGATCAAGGAAATTGCCCTGGACCGTGCCCCGCCAGATCTGGATGCGCTGCCGAAATGAAAGCGGGGAGGTGGCGGGGGTGGTGATCGACCACCGAACACTGGTAGCCCACTGATGAGCTGGCGCCACCGACTGCTTCCAAGCGGGATCCCCGTGCAAGACGAGCTTGGCAGTGAAAGAGGCCCCTCGGTGAGCAGGGGGTTGGCCTGCCAGGAGAACGCGCTGGGGGGCCCGAAGTTCGCCATCATTCACGCCTAAAACCATGGCCCCCTATCCAGCAGCGGGGCGAACGCCAGCAACATGCATATTCTGCATCCTGGACTTGTCCCTGGGAAGCTTGCGACTGTGGTGAAACGACGACCGATGACGTTTCTTCATCATCCTGAATATATCCTTCCTCTTGCCCGCGCCTCCTCTGCAGCCCCGCCTCTGGCCTGGGGCCAGGTCCGTGCCCGGCGCGACAGCCGCGCTGGTCGAGACCGACGGACACGCTGAAAGCAAGCGACGGCGCAGACGATTGGCGAGGCGATGCGAGGAGGCAAAGGTGACCGTCTTGTCCTCTGCCAGGCGAACGTTCAGCCTGCGCGAGAAGACTTCCTCGAGATCAATACCGGCACGGACCAAGTTAGCAACGATCTCATCCTCGTCGCCATAGGCCGTGACCGTGTCACCGTCGACGCACGACCCTAAGGAGACCTCGGGGCGCCTTCGGGCCCACGTGTCGAACTCGAGCATTGCATGCACTTTAGCGAAGATGTCGTTCAAGATGTCCCCAGCAGGAAGCCCCAACTCAGCGCGGAGGACCCATGGGGCGCGATGGGCCCCGAACCTTAGGATTCTGGGATACCTCCAGAGGTTAAAGAGGGTCTTGATGAGCACCGTGGGGATCTTCCAGAAGATGGCCCTGTCCCGAAGCCAGACCAACACGAAAGACTCATAATGCTTCGTGCCGCCCCAGATGAAACCCGCCGCGGACTTGCCACTCGAAGAAGCCTGCTCGGAGAGGGCGCTCTGGGCCCAGATGGCCGCCTCAGAATTCTGCCCAGCACCAAGAGACAAGTGGGGCCGATGGGCCCGCTCCAGGAAATCGTCGCATAGGCGCCGTCGGAGCCTTTCCCAGACACGAACAGGGGGGCCCAGGAGGAGAATGGGACGAAGACTCCTCCTCATGGGCGGCATCGACATCCACGGCAGCTGGGGGGGAAACAAGCGTGGGCGCTCGATCGCCTCGAAGAGCATCGCCAGGACCTCCAGCCCCTGGTCACTGAGGCAAGCGAAATGGCGCGGGCGGTAGCCGTCCAACGACTGAGACGCGCGGCGGCTGAACGAGAGGGGCGCCGCCCGTATCCCGGGCGAGCTGGCCCTGGGAAAACAATCGCGACTCGGAATCCATGCCGCGATGGCTGACAACAAGCATTCCAGAGGTCACCTAGCTTCAGGGTCTCCGAAGCAAGGAGGCTCTGAGGGTCCGAAGTGAAGATGCCTGGGGAGCGCTCGGCAACCGTGGGCTGCCACTTCTTCTGGGGCCTGGCGAACCTGCGCACGAGCGTTGCGGAGCCTGCTACTGCCTTGGCTTGCCAGGAGCCCCAAGATTCATTAGCCGCCTTGTCCCCCTTCCGAGGTGGCCTCCTGATACTCCTCCTGGAGGTCCTCTAGGAACTGCGACGCGCGATCGCGCCACCCCTGCGCTGCAGGCAGGCCCCCCCGCCAGGCCAGCGCTATCTCGCGCGTAGCGCGCATGGTGGCACCGGCCCCCAGGCTCAGTCCCTCCCAGGGCAGGCGCGCTGCAGAACGACCTGGAGCTGCTGGCAGGCGAACAGGTCACAATCCTCGGCGCACGTCGAGTTAAACATCTCAGTGAACGTATGGGAAAAACTTCCGACCTGCGATGATCTGGAGCTTATCATCTGGATTCTTGGGACAGTAGAAGACTGACGCCCAGGATGCCTTGATCGCCCTGCACCTCACCTAGCTCTTTCGCATCAGCGCCCATGGAACTGCGAAGCTCCACCTCGGCGCAATCCACGAAGTGGCCCCATGCATTTGACAATGTCGCCCACGCAGGTGTGGCGGCGGCGTGCATTGAGAAACGGGGCGCCTTAGCGGCATGTGCCAGCGCGCCACCCCATTCCACAGGTGAGGGCGCAGGCCCAAAGGGAAGATCGACTGGTAAACGCTGGTAGGCACGGTAGACTAGTTGCTTCTGTCGAAGCGAGCCCCCACTAACCTAAAGGCGGACAGGGCGACGCGGTTTGACGTCCCAGGCCACGTCGGCCGACGCCTGAGAGATAAGCCGAGACACCCCAGGACCCATCACGAAGTAGCCGAGAGCACTTTTCGACGACGGCGAGCGACGCGCGCAAGTGGTCGGGGCCACGATAATCACACCGAGCTTCCGTGGGAAGCCAGGCGCCTCCAAAACTTCGGGGCTACTATTCCAATCGCCTCCGAGCATGGCGTGCGCGGGGTCCGAGATGGACCTGCCAATCGCCTTCAGCATGCCCAAGATGGCCTCGCTGAGGCCATCGGCGGATTTGAAGTGGACCCAATAGAGGGACACGACGGGCCAACCTGGGAGCCCCAGGAGAACCTTGA